CTTGGATATGAAGTTAGGATTACATCGAGGAGAAATTGAAGAAGAATCAAAACACATTTGCTTTTATAACCCCTGATGGGTTGTATGAATCGCATACCTCCTGAGTATGTAAATTCCCCGGCAGTCTATCAACGAGTCATCGACAAGGCCTTTGGCAACATAAAAGGAAAGTCAGCACTTGCTTACATGGATGATGTAATAATTCCATCAACCATTGCTGAAGAAGGACTAAAAAGCTAGAACAAGTATTGACCGCTTTAGTTTCCTGAGGCTTCCGTCTAAATTAGAAGAAATTCATGTTCTTCACCGAAGAAACGGATTACCTTGGCACAGTTATAAGTGAAGGAACAGTATGACGTAGCCCTCGGAAAATACTAGCATTCACAGAAACAACTTCCCCTACAGATGTAAAAGGCATACGCCAGTTCTTGGGACTGGCAGGTTATTTCGAAGGTTTTCAAGCAGTTACTGCTTCAATTTCTAACCTTTTAAAGAAGAATCGTGATTTTAAGTGGTCAGAAGAGTGCGAAAACATCCGGTAGTTAAGTTAATAATTAAAAAACTCACCGACAAACCTGTCCTTAGAATCTTGAACCTCGAGCTTGAGTGTGAACTTCCTAGGGACCCAAGATCAATTGGTGTAGGTGCGACACTGTTTTAAACAGAGTGTTGTGTCAACTATCCTGTGGCGTATTACAGTCGGCGTACCACCGAGTGTGAGTCAAAATACCACTCGTATGACTTAGAAACTTTGGCTGTCATCAACGTTGTTGAACATTTTCGCATGTACGGCAGACATTTTACCATCTTCACCGATAGCAATTCAGTTCGCCCAACAGCTTTGAAACGGGACTTACATCCTCGTGTTGCGAGATGGTGGGTAATGCTGCAGGACTACGGCTTCGCTATTGAATACAGGCCGGGCTCTATCGAAGCTGTGTTCGTGATACAAGAACATATACCTATTCCCACTGAAGTATCTTAAACAAAACCCTCCTTCCGTTTCAAAGAATTGATGATCTATACAAAAGTATAGTTAATAACCCCAATTCTACTAACGAATTTGCTATATGTAATGGACTTGTGGTAACCACAGATAAACCAGCGAAGTGCTACGTACCTGTTTCAGCCCATCGACTTGTGTCACATAGGGCTGAAAAAGTGCTTATCTAAAATGCCTGAAAAACTATATTGGCCAAGAATGGGACAGAGCTTAAAAGATTACATTTGAAATTGCAGATCGTGCATTCTCGGAATGTCATATACAGGACGACGTGCGGGATTCTGGCAAGCAGCCTATAAACCGACCGATATACTGGAAACCTAGCATACGACCATGGTCCTCTCGAAAAATCTCAAAATTGCATACATGTATTGGTTATCATCGACGCCTTCTTTAAATACTACAAACTTAAATAGATACCAGGCTTTACTTGAAGTTTTCCAAGAACTAGGAAAGCCTCTTAGAATAGTAACGGGTAGAGCTGCATGCTTTACGATAATAATATTTCGTAATTTCCTTGATGAACAAAAAATATGCACTTAATTGCAACGGATATGCTGCATGGCAACGAACAAATGGAACGCAGGATGCATACAGTCTTTAATCTTTTACGTGCAACACTGGTAAATGACAACACTAAAACATGAACTTTTGTCTTATCAAAGCTAGAGATTTGCCTAAATGCAACCCTACATGTGAGAATTGGATACATTTCCTCAGTGGTACACAAGGATTATCTTCCACCGAAAAATTTTTGCCTAAAGAAATCGTTTACTACAACTTTATAATCCCCGAAGGAGACGTTATCAAAACCAGTCAACGTATCATAGAGGCACCCTCTACAACGCAGGGAGTTTTCAAGGAAAAGCGCTGCACACTTACCTATTTTCAGTTGGTGAAAAGGTTGCTGTGGAAAACAGTCAGCTGGGTGGTGGAAAAAAACTATAGTCAAAATACAAAGGACTCTATAATATACCAATACACCTCAACATCGAATTGAGAACACAAAAGAGACACACAATTAACGTAACGTAAAAATTAACAGATAAATTAATATTCTCTGGATAGGTAATTGTAATTTTATAGTTGTAAGATAAATTTCAACGCGACCATTGAGGTATTGCCGAAGTTCGTTACTTTTTTTATGCGTGGTTTGCCAATAAATAAAAAAAAAATAATAACAACACTACTAAACACATACACATACGTACGTAAAGCCTCATTCAAAAGCTGTTAATTAACAACATCTGTGTTGTGTTCCACTTGTATTTTTGTTGTGCTCATGCATTGTTTGTTTATTGTTAAATTAGATTGTGTGATTGACGACATTTATGTGTAGGAAAATATTATTTTTTTTCTAATAATATCAAATAAATTGGACAAAACAAACAGAAATTTTGAAAAGAACACTTGATGACTCCACAATAAAACAACTCCTTCTTAACCTATTTACACATCAATACATGCTTCTTCGATCACTGACACCCTTCCACTACTGACTCTTACCTAACGGCTATCTATATTAAGTACTAAGATACACCCACAATTTTTCGGCCATATTAAAATGTGTCTAATAAATAACTAATAAAAACATACATTTACACGAATTTGTCCCACTTATGTTGGAATGTGTGTATGTAGTCAGTTGAAGCCCCAACCATATCGCCGAAATAATCGAATTTTAAAGGAATGCTCACTACATTCTTATCATTTGTAGTGAACGCAAGCCTTGCAGAAACTGATTTACAGCCGCGGAGAAGAATTTATGTCAATCGCCAAAAATCGCCGTCTTACTACGCATGTATCTTCAGTCCGTTTTTGTAATTTTCGCGATGTTCCAGTACACGACAGGAATAGGTATTTTAAATATACCGGTAGAACCTATAAAGCGTACCACAACAAAAGAAAAAGCGATAAATGCGAGAGTGAAAAATATAGAATGGAGTGAGCAATACCGCCATGAAATTGACCACTCTAGAAAGAGAGAAAACGACCGTGAGGCCAATGCCTGTCCTTCTTTCCTTTTTATTTTATGAGTGGATGACTCTTACAAGACTGCGACCTAGACGAATCAAAATTCCAGGAAGAGTCACCTACTCACGTTTTTCTGGCTGCTAGATAGAGAATGCACAGTCCATTCTCTATGTCTATGGTTTTCACATACCCACCTTCTCGATATTTTGGTACGTTAAAAACCTTACAGGAGGGTCAGTTATCCTATTTCCAATATCTATAAGGTTAGGTTATTGTCGTTCATGGGGCAACATACAAACAAGTCCCACATTACTAGCATCGGCTAGTTGGTATGGGTATGTCAAAATTGAGGCTTCAGAGAGTGTAATCTTCAGATGTGCAAATTCTTCTTGGCATTCGGGTATCAGTTAAAATGAAACTCCATCTTCTTCTGTAAGTCTAGTATGAATCTTTTTTCTCTTTTATATTTTCATTTCCTTCTCTTCTATAATTTTTTCCATTTCGCTTTCCCTTTCTTCTATCTTCTTTTCCATTTCCTTTCTAATTTCATTTATCTTTCCCTCCATTCTTATATTGGTTGCTTCCTGTCTACTTTCATTTCTTCTTGAGTTGTTTTTAACTCTTCTTTCATTTATTCCTCCGCTTTTTCGTTTATTTTTGTACCTTTTCCATTTTCTGTTTACGCTCTACGAACTTCTTCGATTTTGGCAAATTCGTTCTTTATTCTTCATGAGTTTCCCAATAATGTATGACTTTTTAAGGTTTCTCGCGATCCGTAGAAACTTGCAGAAGATTCTTTTCGATAATATCAAAATCTGTTTTCTCTTATCAAGAGCTTTTCAATGATGTATGGTTTATTTGTTGGGATTATACGCAATCGGTAAAAGCTTCCAGAAAATTGACCGATAGAACATTCTATAATATTCGATAAATTTCTTCAAAATCTTCCTTTTTCTTTTTTTAAATCCTCTTCTAATCCACACCTGGCATCAAATGTTTCACAATAAAGCGCTTTTCTCACTACTCATTAACTTTTTTAATTATTTACTCTCCAATTAACATCTCTATTATTAATTAATTTCTATATCACTGTATCACACGGTTTAAGGCTTCTTTGTTCTTCTTATTTTGCTTTGTATCACCTCCTCGCTGAAACTCGAACTCACTTTTACAATCACGCGGCAGCCATTAATAGGCGCTGGATTTGTTCTACAAAGATCAAGAATATGACATCTGGAAAATCTGGATCTTTGTTCCTGTATATGGTGAGTTGCCTACACGTGACACTTGGTATGTGATTATAAAAGTGTCAGATTAGTAATATTCAATTCAATGTGCTGATATATGCAGAAATCTTTCTTACACTTGACTGAAAATTAAATTATAACTGCCTAAAATATTCCGTCAATATCATGTTCAATGAGGGAGCTTGTTACTAAGGAAACGAGGTCCAACCAAGATTTATGAGAAACAATGTCAAAATAGAAAGTATAAATGCGTTTCAAACAATATGAAAAGTGACAGGTCATGGTAGGTTTTTGAGCTGCAATAAATTGATAATGTTATAGTTTTCTTTCGAAGAAATGAATATGAGAAGGGGGATTAAGGTAAAAGCATACTTCTGGTTCTGAAAAATTTCATCATTAGTAAACATTTTCTCTTCTGAGGCTTTGTTAGGCGAGGGTTGAATTTAATTCAAATTTTGCAAAAAGTACTTCATGAGCTAAATATTTTGTTCCATTTGGTTTCTCAATAGAAAATATTCATCGTGACAATTTATTCGACTTTGATTTAATTCAATAATAAAAAATATACTTCACATATCTATATCTAAGTCAATATTAGAAGAGTTGTCCTGAAAATTGTTAAACTGAGAACATCTTAATGTGCTTTTTTTTTGGGGGTTTTAATATGAACTCGAATTGAACCTGACTGAACGAATTATATAGTGAAATGACTATTTATTAAATATCGACTCACGTCCAGCAAAGCGGCAACGTTACACATAGCTTCAAATAATTGTAAGAAACGAAGAAAGCTAATAAGTCGATAGAAAACTGACAAATATTCGTAGTTTTGTTTTAGCTTGTGTTCAAGTAGGCACTGAAAATTGTCTCACTATTTTATTTAAACAAAAATATATATACATAACATTAATATCATTTATTAAAATGTCTTTTACTGAAATACATCGAGTAACTCCGAAAGCTAAGCTTTATTCCGGTTGTGGGGATGGAGCGGGACTGCGTCTTGCTTCTTCTGTATCTACCGATAATAATAAAAAGAGAATTCCGATACCTTCGTGTCGTCGTTTTGCGACACGGCCCGTCACAGAAGAAAGCGACGTAAGAAAAAAGTTGGAACGAGCTATAATCGAATTTGAGACTCCTACAAAGCAAAAAAAACCTAGACGAAAAAGTATGACTATGGCAGAAATAACACCTACCAAAAGGAAACCTAAGTCAAAGTAATGTACTTATAGATTTAAACATTTGACAAATTGAATCAGCGTTTTTATATCTTTTCTATTTATTTTTTTCTCACCGTTATCAGTTGTACCTATTTACAAAACTATTAATTTTATATTATCAATCATGTCTTAAATTATATGTATATAAAAAGGTACTGTGTTTGCTTTACACCTTAACAAGTTAAATTTGGGTGCTAAGTATACTTTTCGGGTTAAATGGATCACCCAGTGTATTAAGCAGCTGGTATAAGTTTATATATGTATGTACATTTTTATAGTGTCCTCTGTATGATGTTTAATCGTTTCCAATTTACAATTTTTTGTAGAGTTAACGAAGGATTTATAACTGACGTTGAAACTACAGTTACAGAGGAAAGAATGGCGTCTCGACGGTCACGAATAGACGCCGGTCGTCGCGTGTACAAATTTCTGTTACTGAATGCGTGGCGTCGGTGTCGAACTGAAGTCGCGACACTCGGTGAATCATTGAAACAAGTTAAAGCACAGGTTCGTGTAAATATAAACAGTCAAAACGTTTGTTAATGACAATATTATTTATAAAGGAGAAAAAAATTATCGTTGGATCCATTAATATGTTAAACAATTATTGATTGTGTATTTAACCGAAGAATTATCTACATTTGTTCTTATTTTTGGCGGTTTCATTTTCTACTGAAATATAAAAATTAAAAGGTAGTAGGGTAAAAATGACTGGTTTACATGACGGCTTAATAAGCCCGGCGCCGATAATGCGTCGTCGATTAACAATATCTATTTTTGAGCTTATTGAGTCAACGACGCGACGCGTCGGTTTTAGAAAAACTTTCTTAAGCGATGATGGTCTGAATACGTATTACTGTTATGTCTACAAGATGATAATTTTCAATTACCTAATTTTATATAGACTATTATTATTAATAGGCGCTATTAAAAATTTCATAATTTTATTAATTTGGAAAAGATAATATGTGTATTGTAAAAAAGGTAAAAATTGGAATGATTTCACATTTCGAAAACGAAACATAACACTTCTCATTTGTATCTTTTTCAATTAATAGTTTTTTAAAGTTTAGTTGTTCACAGTTTGTACTAATTTATGTAAAAAGATATGCATTTTAGAACAGTCAATTACAAATGCAAGCAGATGTCCTACAAAAATTAAGAGAAAGCGAATGTAAGAGAAGAGACCAAGCCGTTACAGAAAATGGTGCCCTTAAAGAAGAAATACTTGCATTAATGAAAACCAACAATTTGTTGTTAGAGGTGAATACATTTGCTATTTTTACAGAATTCATGAAATTGTAATCAGTATCTTTTAGCAATAAGATAAAAATTAGGAATGAAACTTATAGGTATAATATGGATCTTAATCAAAGATACAAATTTTACTTATATTTTCCCTTGGGCACAAAAATTTTTGTTATTGGGTGTAGAATAAAAAAACATTTTATTTATATCGACATCTGAATACGAATAATATATCAGTAGATATATGTTATTACCACAATTACCTCATCAATAAACGGGAAATTCCTGTTCTTCGCTGACGAGATATTGGTGAACGCTTGCCGGCCGCGTCGTCCACAGGCCAGCTAATTACATTTTAATTCGTGTATTGAACTCGCTGCCAATAATTAAAATAGAGAAAATTATACTTTTGGTATCGGATTTTTTAACAAAATCTATGCTAGTAAAAATTATTGAAAGATTGCGTTTACGTTATCTACACAGCATGTATGAATCAATCCGAACAGTAATGACATACAGCACATTGAACTCACCTATAATACATATGTATAAATATACAGAGAAGAAAATATAATAAAATTTAGTAGGAGGCAGTATGAAAGACAGAATACGTATTATTATTAAGTAATTGGTTCATATGCAATAGTACCTATGTAGTTATCTTTGTTCTTTATTATTATTATTATTATTATTGTTTTCAATGTAATTCTCCCAACACATTCAATTTCAATTAATTAAATATCTAATAATTATATAAAGATAATGATAACAAAATCGAAAGTTTTGTAATAGTATTTCTCTATAGGAATCTAATAATATATAAATACCGTGTAAATTCCACCTAACAAACTCCCATTAAAGGAAAAACTCCCAGCAATGTAAAAATTACTTGACTTTGGTTGGCTTACATTATTACCCGTACAATAAAGTAGCATAATAGCCACTCTCAGTAATGAAACATCACGTCATTATTTAGAAAGTAATAATAACTTCTTATTGACTTAAGAACGCTTTCTAATGTTCTATCAATCGGTTCTATTGCCTAGCACGTGTTAATTGCCGTCACTGCACCTATTCGAAAAAATTCATTCTTTTATTTTCTGGAATAATTTTAATCCATGTCATTCTGGACATACCTATAATATTACGTTATTTTTTGGTATTCTTTTAATGAAAACTCAATAACACAATTAAATACTCATAGTCTGGGAGCCAGTGCTGCATTTTTGTGAGTGTTTTTATCCCTCTAAGTTTTTATACCAACTGATGGTATAAATACAACTAATAAGCAAAATTAGTGTCATTTGTAAGAATCTTGGTGGAGAGGAGTGGGAGAAAATTAAAATATGTCAAAAAAATAATAAAAAACTACTTCAGTACAGAAAAAAATATTTAGTGTAAGTTTAAATAATATAAAACGGAAAATNCAAGTTAAATTTGGGTGCTAAGTATACTTTTCGGGTTAAATGGATCACCCAGTGTATTAAGCAGCTGGTATAAGTTTATATATGTATGTACATTTTTATAGTGTCCTCTGTATGATGTTTAATCGTTTCCAATTTACAATTTTTTGTAGAGTTAACGAAGGATTTATAACTGACGTTGAAACTACAGTTACAGAGGAAAGAATGGCGTCTCGACGGTCACGAATAGACGCCGGTCGTCGCGTGTACAAATTTCTGTTACTGAATGCGTGGCGTCGGTGTCGAACTGAAGTCGCGACACTCGGTGAATCATTGAAACAAGTTAAAGCACAGGTTCGTGTAAATATAAACAGTCAAAACGTTTGTTAATGACAATATTATTTATAAAGGAGAAAAAAATTATCGTTGGATCCATTAATATGTTAAACAATTATTGATTGTGTATTTAACCGAAGAATTATCTACATTTGTTCTTATTTTTGGCGGTTTCATTTTCTACTGAAATATAAAAATTAAAAGGTAGTAGGGTAAAAATGACTGGTTTACATGACGGCTTAATAAGCCCGGCGCCGATAATGCGTCGTCGATTAACAATATCTATTTTTGAGCTTATTGAGTCAACGACGCGACGCGTCGGTTTTAGAAAAACTTTCTTAAGCGATGATGGTCTGAATACGTATTACTGTTATGTCTACAAGATGATAATTTTCAATTACCTAATTTTATATAGACTATTATTATTAATAGGCGCTATTAAAAATTTCATAATTTTATTAATTTGGAAAAGATAATATGTGTATTGTAAAAAAGGTAAAAATTGGAATGATTTCACATTTCGAAAACGAAACATAACACTTCTCATTTGTATCTTTTTCAATTAATAGTTTTTTAAAGTTTAGTTGTTCACAGTTTGTACTAATTTATGTAAAAAGATATGCATTTTAGAACAGTCAATTACAAATGCAAGCAGATGTCCTACAAAAATTAAGAGAAAGCGAATGTAAGAGAAGAGACCAAGCCGTTACAGAAAATGGTGCCCTTAAAGAAGAAATACTTGCATTAATGAAAACCAACAATTTGTTGTTAGAGGTGAATACATTTGCTATTTTTACAGAATTCATGAAATTGTAATCAGTATCTTTTAGCAATAAGATAAAAATTAGGAATGAAACTTATAGGTATAATATGGATCTTAATCAAAGATACAAATTTTACTTATATTTTCCCTTGGGCACAAAAATTTTTGTTATTGGGTGTAGAATAAAAAAACATTTTATTTATATCGACATCTGAATACGAATAATATATCAGTAGATATATGTTATTACCACAATTACCTCATCAATAAACGGGAAATTCCTGTTCTTCGCTGACGAGATATTGGTGAACGCTTGCCGGCCGCGTCGTCCACAGGCCAGCTAATTACATTTTAATTCGTGTATTGAACTCGCTGCCAATAATTAAAATAGAGAAAATTATACTTTTGGTATCGGATTTTTTAACAAAATCTATGCTAGTAAAAATTATTGAAAGATTGCGTTTACGTTATCTACACAGCATGTATGAATCAATCCGAACAGTAATGACATACAGCACATTGAACTCACCTATAATACATATGTATAAATATACAGAGAAGAAAATATAATAAAATTTAGTAGGAGGCAGTATGAAAGACAGAATACGTATTATTATTAAGTAATTGGTTCATATGCAATAGTACCTATGTAGTTATCTTTGTTCTTTATTATTATTATTATTATTATTATTGTTTTCAATGTAATTCTCCCACTGAGAACATCTTAATGTGCTTTTTTTTTGGGGGTTTTAATATGAACTCGAATTGAACCTGACTGAACGAATTATATAGTGAAATGACTATTTATTAAATATCGACTCACGTCCAGCAAAGCGGCAACGTTACACATAGCTTCAAATAATTGTAAGAAACGAAGAAAGCTAATAAGTCGATAGAAAACTGACAAATATTCGTAGTTTTGTTTTAGCTTGTGTTCAAGTAGGCACTGAAAATTGTCTCACTATTTTATTTAAACAAAAATATATATACATAACATTAATATCATTTATTAAAATGTCTTTTACTGAAATACATCGAGTAACTCCGAAAGCTAAGCTTTATTCCGGTTGTGGGGATGGAGCGGGACTGCGTCTTGCTTCTTCTGTATCTACCGATAATAATAAAAAGAGAATTCCGATACCTTCGTGTCGTCGTTTTGCGACACGGCCCGTCACAGAAGAAAGCGACGTAAGAAAAAAGTTGGAACGAGCTATAATCGAATTTGAGACTCCTACAAAGCAAAAAAAACCTAGACGAAAAAGTATGACTATGGCAGAAATAACACCTACCAAAAGGAAACCTAAGTCAAAGTAATGTACTTATAGATTTAAACATTTGACAAATTGAATCAGCGTTTTTATATCTTTTCTATTTATTTTTTTCTCACCGTTATCAGTTGTACCTATTTACAAAACTATTAATTTTATATTATCAATCATGTCTTAAATTATATGTATATAAAAAGGTACTGTGTTTGCTTTACACCTTAACAAGTTAAATTTGGGTGCTAAGTATACTTTTCGGGTTAAATGGATCACCCAGTGTATTAAGCAGCTGGTATAAGTTTATATATGTATGTACATTTTTATAGTGTCCTCTGTATGATGTTTAATCGTTTCCAATTTACAATTTTTTGTAGAGTTAACGAAGGATTTATAACTGACGTTGAAACTACAGTTACAGAGGAAAGAATGGCGTCTCGACGGTCACGAATAGACGCCGGTCGTCGCGTGTACAAATTTCTGTTACTGAATGCGTGGCGTCGGTGTCGAACTGAAGTCGCGACACTCGGTGAATCATTGAAACAAGTTAAAGCACAGGTTCGTGTAAATATAAACAGTCAAAACGTTTGTTAATGACNAGATCAACAACCATTAACAAACATTAATAAAGATTTTTTGTATAGGTAAAGCTCTAAACACTTACTGACATAATTGTTTTGACGACTTTGTACGATTAAAATAATAAATAAATAAATTATTAAAAACCATGTGGTGGCAGTTTTTAATTATTGTTATTATATTATAATAGTAGGGGTAGCTGGCATATAATCCCCCACCTGTTTACGCACCTTATGCTAAACAAATTTTATGTGTATTAAAACCTGCTCGACCATCACTATAATAGCCGAGGATTACCAAGCAATACAAATCGTAAGGGATGAAATTTTGACATTTGTAACGCTGCGCTACCTCCCTGACAATTATTTTCAGTCTCTCGAATTGCGCTAGAATTTACACTGTAAAATACTATTAATAAAAAGTTATTACTCTTCTCATATTCTCTTTATTAATAGTGTGTAAATAATGTACTTAGGTACATATAAGAATTGTTGATGACATTTTACTGTAGGTAATTATTTTTTCACAATATTGTATTTGTAGGATAAGAAATGCTTGGATGAAAGGATTTGTAGGTCCGAAGAGGAGAAGATGTCTTTAAAAGCTGACATATTAAATGTACAAAGTAATCTTTTAAATCTAAAAGCGGAAATGAAATGTATGGAGGAAACTCTCCAGAATGAAAGATTCAAGATTACCTCTTTAAAAGAAGAATTACATGTATTGAGGGAAAAGGTATTGCCTAGTGAATATTATATTATTTTTACTATATTTTTGAATAAGAAAGGAAATTAACTGCAATTTTTTCTTCAAATTATATGCACGTACGTGTAAAGGTATGAAATGCGTGTAGTTGTGGGGAAATCCCACACCATCAGTTACATATTATAAGTAAATATGATATGCATATTATAAAAGTAGTAAGTCGGAAATTCCAACAGTTGCGTTTATGAATGAATCGACAGTTTGTTGACTTGCAACAAGAAAAGTACCGGTTTTTAATCATTAATAATGTATGAAATTGTTATTAATAGGTATATAATAAGAACGAATAATATGACGCCAGTACACTTTTCGTAACAAAAGATTAATTTGGAAAAACTTTATATTATGAAACGAAAAATATGTAAGGAGGTAATACGAAATTTTCCTTGATAAGCATCTTTAACTTTGTAAGCTAAACTAATTGTAAATCGTCAAACATGGTTTTGGATATAAATGGATTTAAAATAAAAAAGTTATGTATATATATAAAAACATTGAAACAAGTACAAAATACTAGTTTAATAACAAAATTTACAATAACTATATTGTATGTACCTAGTTATTTGACAAATACGACATGTTTTAATCTTTTTTGCAGTTTATGATAAGGATACCTAAAATAGTCTTAGGCAAACGAAAACTTGTTTTTATTGGAGATTATCGAATAGATACTTACTATGACATAACGTGGCCAGAATGTTTTAATTAATTTTTGATTTACTTTAAAGTTGGTAAAACTTGTTCACTTCCCGCTCATGGGGAAGTCATTGTAATGAGCATGAAAATCACAATCGTAGACTTCAAGTTATTTTGACATTTTATGGTTACAATAACATTACAACATAATTTAGGAAGTACGTTACAGTGTGTGGGTGCGTGTGTTCCTTCGTGCAATGTACCACACTAAAACAATTATATCCTTGTTTGTAGTACCGATCGAAGCATATAACAGTATAATTGAAAAAACTTTTCGTTTTTTGTTTTTTTTAAACTATTTGTAACGAATTTGGGGATTTATTGAGACTTTTTTTTTGTTATACTGGGAAGAATTGGAAATATTTCCTTGTTTAAATCGGGTATTAATTTTGATTTATTATACTTAATAATAGTTAATAGAATTAAATTTATTTGATTTATTAACTGGTATTGAAGTATTTGCCCTGTATTTTGGAAATAGCGTCTACATATATGTATTTATATTATTATGCGGTAATGGCGATTAGTCACGTTCGATAGAACAAACGCTCTTGCGACTGACGACGACGCCTCAGCGTCGTGGCGACTCATGCTGCACGTGATAAAATTGTTGGCGTCATCGTTTTCCAACCCCTAATTTGAAACGAAAGAAATTGGAATACAAGAGTGATTCATACCAGAGTATGATGATTAATATAGAGACATTATACCTACACATTTCGCTACACATATTACGGTTACCTATTCATCTACATACTAACAAGATCTTTTTAATGCTAACTAATTTTAGCTCCAGAAATAATGTTTTGTAGGTACGAATTATTTTGTGTTTATAAATGAAACGAGCAGTTTGGTTTTCAAATTAATTTATTGAAATCTACATCTACAAAATTTTATTTTAGCTTATCCGATCCTTTCGTAATGAGGCGTAGAATTTAAGGCTCGTTTCTTTTTCTTCAACACCGAGTAAAGTGCTAATTGTTATCAGTACCTTTAACATCGCTTAACCCTCAATTTCTTCAAAATACAGGTCATCGACTTGTACGGTGTTGAATCCTCGAAAGACTGGTTTATGACATGACCAACCAGCCAATGGCATTCCATCGAAGAATATATATTGTAGTACAGATGTTTCTGCATTTTCTAAATTTTCAGTTTTCGAAATCAGGATATATGAATAAAAAGGAGCTAAGTGGTGTGTGTTTTGGAACTTATAAGCGTTACAGGTGTGTGGTGCATCAGGTAGGTCTCCAGGATAGTTCATGCATGAGGACATTTTGGCGGCGGTGGGTGGATATGTGTGGGCGATGTGGATGAGCTGTTACTAAAGTAATATAAATTCATAGAGGTAGGGCTGTGAGAGATCTCGGTGTTGAAGCTGAAGGTGCTCTTGAGCTGTACGTTAATAAATTTGCTGGTTTAAAATTTAACACCGAATGGCCTTGACCTAAAGGTTTAGACTTTAGACCATGGCTCAGCATTTAGGAGGACGGTTCGATTTGGTTTAACTTTTTCTGTAGTTTCCTTGGACAATTTAGGTAGGTAAATTCCACAGATTATCCTACCTACCTACCGCCATACCCTATGACTGAAAATGAAACACCAAAGTTTGTTTTTCTTTTTTATTTATCATTTGTACGATGCTCTTTCCAAGAAAGACGTAACATTACACAATATGACATTTAGGTTTAACGTCAATTATTCATAGCAACATATATAGTTCGATCTTCATTTAAATTAAAAAAAACTAATTCTTAGAAGTGAATATAAAACTTTATACAATGTCTTCATCTACATAGCAGAAAATATTATAGTTATATTTACATAGTTACATTTACGTGATCCGATAATACAATTTATACAAAACAAGTTTTTATTAATAAGAATGTATATGATACTAGATGGCAATTCCTACAGTGCCCGTGATACCTTTTAATTTTGGTTATTTTTATTATTATTACTAAAACTTAATCAACTAATCGCTCAATATAAGTATATATTCCTATATTATGTGTATTTATCTTACACGCCCAGTCTATTTCTTCTTTAATCGGTGACACATATATTTTTCGCACAAACCTTGACAAAAACGTTTATTTTGACACATNACTAATCGCTCAATATAAGTATATATTCCTATATTATGTGTATTTATCTTACACGCCCAGTCTATTTCTTCTTTAATCGGTGACACATATATTTTTCGCACAAACCTTGACAAAAACGTTTATTTTGACACATAAGAACACTAATTATATATCGGCAAATTATACAAATTCACAAAGTAAAATTAATAGAGCATGAAAAAAAAACCTGTCATTTAATGGAAATGTAAAAATAAAACTATCTTCACTTTTAAGTTCAAAAATTCACGATTTTCGGTGTCGTCATTGAAGTCCGGGTAAGCTTACGGCATCGTCATTTGGCGGTCTCTATTGTCATCGTTGGCTGCATAATCCCGTATTTTTTAGAATATATTGTTCTGTGTGTGCTAAAGGTACTATAGGCTATATATGTACGTAATTGGATCTTAACATTTTAACAATTAATGGCAGCTAATTTTGCAAAGCAAATAACCGTCGTCTGGTAGTAGCGATTTTATGATGTATGGTCCAACAAACTCGTCTCCTCTAAATAACAGGACGGTATCATCTACTTTGTAACATTGCTTATTCCTTTTTCTTTTATTCAGAGACAACATTTGGTTTTGTTCGTTTTTTCGTAATCTTCTTAAAATTTCGTTACGATCTACTGGGGATTTGGTCGAATTTGAAACTGGTAAATTGGCAAGGATTGTACGGATTTGTGGTATTTGTTCCTCTTGTCTGAATCTGCTGGGGTTTTGTATGGTGGTATTAACAACCAATTGGGTTTTCCACAACCTGTTCGACCATTCTGTTGTTTGGTTCGATTCGACTCATAACGTATTGGTAATGGTTTGCAAATATCGTTCTACTTATCCGTTGAAGCGGTATACTGCTGGTGTTGTCACGTGCAGTTTGATACCAAAAAAATTTCTGAACTCTGAAAATTCTGGCAGTGAAATTTGTTCTAGCATTGCAGATTATTTGGTTTGGCGTCCCAAATATACTTATGGAGTTGCTCAGGCTTTGTTTTGTTTCTTCGGTTGTAAAGGTAGACTGGGAGTACAGGAGGAAAAATTTTGAAAATGCGTCCATTATTACGAAAATGGATTTATACTGGTTCTGGTTTTCAGGCAAGGATCGGAAACGATCTGTATGATACATATAAAATGGTTCGTATTTCGTTTTGATTCGTGGATTTGATAAGGTTTCGGCTCAAAAAATTGACATGTGTTATTTCAGAACCTTTTTTGTAAATTATGTCAAAATCAACATCTTGGATATACGCCCACTTGTACTGGTTTTCAAGTCCTACTTGTTAGCGGATTAGTTGCAGTCTGTGACTAGTGTAAAATGTAATCCAAATAACTATACACGAAAGTGTTTGAGAGCGTTTCCAGCAGCTAAAGTTTCTAGCTCGAAAGAGTGATATTTGTTCTCTTCGGGGAAAATTTTTCGGCTAAAATATTCAGTTGGTTTAAATAAGTTTCCATGTTTACATATTTTTAAATTAGTCAAAAATAGATAAGAGTGTTTTTTTTTGTCAAGATGTCTGTTGCGTATTGCCTTGCCTTTTCACATTTAAGCGTCAAATCAAATGGTGCGTCATTCTTTGTAAAGTGGATAACGCAAGAAACTTTAGTGGAAAATGCTGGAATAAATTTTCTGAAGTAACTTGCCGGCCTGATTAATTGTCTCACTTGTTTTACATTTGTGGGTGGCAAGTTATCCTTGATAGCCTTAACTTTATTTGGGTTTGACCGGATGCCGTCTTCCGATATTTTATGACCCAAATAAATGATTGCTTACAAAAAGAAACAGCATTTGATAATAATTGAAAAGTTTGCTTTATGCAAAATTTCAAAAACCAATTTCACTTTTTTCAAAATCTTCATCCACAGTGATAGAAGGAAGTAAAATATCGTCGAGATATACTTAAGGTTACCTAAAGCGATGTTGATTTCCCGTTGAAAAACAGCCGGCACGTTTTTGGTTAATAAATTCTTTTGTATTTGTGGTTAAATTTTCAAAATAAGCTGGGGACATAATTGGACAAAAATGAAATCAATCACTAACTGATGATGTACTAAGTAGCAGTTATGACAACAAAGTTATCAATAAAATACGCAGCTATCTCTATTAAATCGGCTTCTTATCAACTAGTCTTCAAAGATTTCAGTTTTTCTAATT